TGCCTTTCATTATTATTATCTGATTCCTTGTCTCCAGCATCTCCTGTCTTTGTTTAATTCTGGAGATTTCTGGGAGAAAAACCTTCCTGGAAAAAAAGGCTTTAGTAGTCCATTTTTATTTTTAAGTTCTTTAATATATTTGATGTACACAAATAATATACATAAACACTTATATAAATTGTAAAAGCAGGATAATATTGTGCATTTCACCCCAAAGAACTAGAATCTCATAAATAACTTACCTCTACTTATGTGTTTCTCCCCATCCTGGCCCTGTCCCAGGTCCCAGGATGCAGGGAGTGCGGGGTTTTTGTTGTTAGAGCGTTAGGAGTTTGTTATCTATAAGAGACATGCACAAGACTTTCTGTGACGGTGACCAGGCACAGTGGCTCACACCTGTCATCCCGGCACTTACGGAGACCAAGGCAAGAGCATTGCCTGAGCCCAGGAGTTTGAGACCAGCCTGGACAATATAGTGAGACCTTGTGTCTTCAAAAAATTAAAAAATTAGCATAGCGTGATGGCGCACACCTGTAGTCCCAACCATACAGGAGGCTGAGGCAGAAGGACTGCCTGAGCCCAGGAGGTTGAGGCTGCAATGAGATATGATTGTGCCACTGCACTCCAGCCTGGGCAACAGAGTGAGACTCCAACTCAAATTAAAAAATAGATAAATAAAAGACTTTATGTGACTGTGGTTGCTGCCACTGTGTGTCATCTCCCCCCCACCCTCCACCCTTCCCCCCACCTCAATCCCCACCCCTGCTTCCTGAGCCACCCTTTGTCACTGCACCAGCCCTCAGGCTCTCCAGGCATGAACCCTTGGGCAGCTCTAAATCAGCACATTCCCTTGAAAGTCCTCTCCCATCTCAAATGCAGAGCAGTTACTTTTTAAATGAATATATTATCTTGTCCTCCAAACTGCCTACTCCTACTGACTTCCTTGATGACTGCCAACAGTACCACTATTTTCCCAGTCTTACAGCTTAAGTTCTGAAATCATCCTTGACAGATCCCTTACCCACCCTTCACTGGAGACCTTGGCAGTGGGACTTCAAGGTCGATTTGCAAGCTCTGCTATTTTCTAGCTGTAAGGGTGGGTAGGTGGGTAGGACCTCCCTGAATCTGCTTCAATCACAAAAGTGCGTGTGTGTGTGTGTGTGTGTGTGTGTGTGTGTGTGTGTGTGTGTGTCACAGCCTATCTTACAGAGTTGCCGGAAACATTCAGTCAGTTACCAAACAAGTGCTGAGAACAGTGACCAGCATAATGTCAGCAGTTATCATAAATGAATGGAACTTTGGAAAGTCTCTCAAATTCTTCCCTCCGTTCCCTGCTCTTCAAGCCCTTAACTCTTCCCAATGTGTATTCTTAAAATTGCTTCCAAGCTGCTCTCCATGCCTTCAGTTCCATTTCTCTCCTAGGGTATCCTATACAGGGTCCCCAAAGGACAATAGTGTCAGGTCATCTCCTTAGGCTCCCTGGTGCCCACAGAATAAAGTCCAAATCCTTTAACTAAGCCTTCAAAAGCTGTCTCCCTTTCAGCCCATGACTGGCGCCCTCCTAGCATGCTGCCTTCATGTTCTGTATTTTCTCTTGTCACTTCTACCCAATTCCTGCTTTTTCTTTCATGGTCCAGCCGCTCTCCTCTGTAAAGCCTATTTTGTTTTAATTTTTTATTTTGAAGATGTGGGGTACAATTCAGGGTTATATATACAAATGTTCATTATGCAGGTACTCTTGTTGATGAGGTGTACCCCTCCCCTCTTGCAGTTTCCTACTACTGCCAATCTCGACCCCTCTGCCCCCACCCCCGCCCAGAGTTTCCAACTACTGCCAATCCCTTTCTTTTTTTTCTTTTTTTTTGAGTTGGAGTCGCACTCTGTCGCCCAGACTGGAGTGCAGTGGCCGCTCCCAGCCACCGCAACCTCGACCTGCTGGGCTCCGGCGATCGTTCCGCCTCAGCCTTCCAAGTAGCTGGAACTTCAGGCGCGCACTACCATGCCCAGCTGATTTTTGATTTATTGTGGAGATGAGGTCTCGCTGCCCAGGCAGGTCTCGAACCCGCGGGCTCAGGCAATCCACTCACCTCAGCCTCCCAAAGGCGTGGGATTACAGGTTGAGCCACCGTGCCCGGCTACCAATCCCTTTCTTATAGTATTATGATTATAGTTCAAGGTCCTCTTATGGGTGAGAACATGTGGTACTCAGTTCTTTGTTTATGTGACAGATCGCTCAGTATTACAGACTCTAAGTTCATCTAAGTTGCTGCAAAGTTCATAATTTTGTCCTTCTTTATGACTGCATAACATTCCATCATGTATATGTACCACATTTTTTTCACCCAGTCCTCTTTCGATGGGCAGCATGGTTGGCTCCATGTTTTTGCTATTGTGAATAATGCTGCAATAAACATGTGTGCAGATATCTTTTGCATAGGGTGACTTGAGTATATTCCCAGCAATGGGATTGTGGGGTTATATGGAAGGTCAATTTTTAGATCTTTTAGAATCGCCAAATTGTTTTCCATAGAGGTTGTACTAGCTTACACTCCCACAGTGTAGAAGTGTTCCCTTTTCACCACATCCTCTCTGGCATCTGTTGTTTTTCGAGTTATTGATGATGGCCATCCTGCCTGGAGTTACATGGTATCTCAGTGTGGTTTTAATTTGCATTTCTTCGATACTAGTGAGACTGAGCATTTTTTTCATGTATCTGTTGGCTACATGTATGTCTTCTTTTGAGAAGTATCCACTCATATCTTTTGCCTACTTTGTAATGGTGCTGTTTTTTGTTTTGTTTTGTTTTGTTTTTGGCATGTTTGAGTTCCTTGTAGATCCTAGATGTTAGGCCTTTGTCAGATATATAGTTGGCAAATATTTTTTCCCAGTCTGTAGGCTGTCTCCCCGCTCTCTTGCTGGTTTCTTTTGCTTTGCAGAAGCTTGTCAGTTTGATGAGGTCCCACTGGTCTATCTTATTTCTTATGGCATGGGCACTTGGGGTTTTGATCAGGAATTGGTTGCCAGTTCCAATTTCCATAAGGGTGTCTCCTGTATTTTCTAAGGTTCTTATAGTTTGAGGTTTTATGTTTAGGTCTTTTATCCATTTAGAGTTGCTTTTTGTGTGTGGTGATAGGTAGGGGTCTTGTTTTAATCTTCTGCATGTGGTCAATTAGTTTTTCCAGCACCATTTACTGAATAAGTTCTCCTCTCCCCAGTGGTTAGAGGTGGAGGCTTTGTTGAAGATGAGTTGGCTGAAAAATTGAAGTTTTACTTCCAGAATCTCTATCCTGTTCCTTTGGTCTATGCGCCTGTCTTGTGCCAATACCAGGATGTTTTGATTATTGTAGCTTTATAATAAAGTTTAAAGTGTGGGAGTGAGATACCTCCCACTTTGCTTTTTGGGTTTTTTTTTTCTGAGAATTGTTTCCATTATTCGTGGTTATTTATGTTTCTGCATGAATCCCTATATTGTTGCTTCCAGGTCTGAGAAGAATGCTGCTGGTTATTTAATAGATATTGCATTAAATTTGTAGATTTCCTTGGATAGGATGGACATCTTAACAATGTTGATTCTTCCAATTCATGAGCATGGAATATTTTTCCATTTGTTTGGGTCATCTTTGATTTCTTTGAGCGGTGTTTTGTAGTTTTTGTTGTAAAGGTCTTTCACTTCTTCGGTTGGTAAGCTGCCCAGGCATTTCATTTTCTTATGTGTGGTTATTGTGAATGGGATTGTGCTTTTTATTTGGGTTTCTGTTTATTTGGGTTTCTGTCTCTTACACATTTATTTTATAACCTGAGACTTTGCCAAAGTCCTTCATTAGTGCAAGGAGGTTTTCACAGATCCTCTTGGGTTTTATAGAATCATGTCGTCTGCAAAGAGGGATAACTTAACTTCCTCTTTTCCTATTTGGATACCCTGATTTCTTTCTCTTGTCTGATTACTCTAGCTAGAACTGTCAATACTATGTTAACAGGTGGGGTGAGAGTGGGCTTCTTTGTCTTGTTCTGGTTTTCAGGGGAAATGGTTCCGATTTCTGTCTGTTTTGCAGTATGTTGGCTGTGGGTTTCTCATAGATGGTTCTTACTATTTTGAGGTATGTCCCATCTATGCCTAGATGTTCGAGGGTTTTTTTCAAGGAGTGCTGGATTTTATTGAAAGGGTAAAGCCTATCTTGATCACTCCCTCCCGCCCACAGCCATCTCTCTGCCTCTGACACACCCCTCTTGTCTGGAGCACTACTTGCTGACACTCATTCACTGTCCCCACTCTTAGACACAGGCTCTCACATATGGGTTTTGTCTCTCCAGTGCTTCTGCACATCCTTCAAGTGCAAGGTCAGCTCTTCTTGCTGGTTTTCCTTACAGTACATAGCTCAGCGCCTCATCCTCCATAGGTGTTAGGTTACTGTTTACTAATTAGGGTGGCATTGTGCCAAGGTGCTGAAACACATGTCCTTAATTTTTAGTAATTAATTTATTTCATTCATTCATTTATCAGGTACTTGTTGGGCTTCTACAGTGGGCCAGGCACGGGAATTAGGTGATGAACCAAACAGAAATAGTCCATCCTGGAGCTCATATTCATGTAGCAGAGATGGATTCTCAATATAAACAACCAAAATATTACAGAGAGTGATAAGAGTCAGAAAAGAGTCAAGAATGTTCATTCAATGCACTTCATATTTCACCTGTCACCTGTGTGACATAATTTGTGGGGTCCAGTGCAAAATGCAAATTTGAGGCCCCTTGTTCAAAAGTATCAGAATTTCAAGATGATGCCAGCACAGCATTAAACCAAGCTCAGAAACTCTTAAGACAGGACCGTGAAGCTGCTCTGCCCATCCTGGGTGCTTTAATGAGACATGAAATAAGCAGAGACACTCTTCATTTGATTTTAAATCCAGCTCAGTGTATTTATACAGAGAATACTTCAAGCTACAGGGTAGCCACATGTGGAATACAACGTGAAGTTCTTCTGGGTGCTTCTTGCCTTTCAGACTGCTTGTCTTACTCAGCGTTACAAGTGCTATCCAGAAGGTGCTATGGGAAGCAGAGATGCAAAATCGTTGTCAACAATCACCATTTCGGAAGCCCCTGCCTTCCAGGAGTGAAAAAATACCTCACTGTGACCTACGCATGTGGTAAGAACAAACCCTCCACCGAAGACCCTGCCTCTTTGGGGAGTGGTAATCACATGGACGGTGGGAACCTGATGGAACATGCCAAACAACTCTCTTCCTGAAGCTGTTTAGTCACCCTGGGTATTTAGAGCCCTTTTTCTATCCTTTACCCTTATTTACGACATTCACCTCAGATAAAAAATTTTCTGTGGTCAAAATTTGTTTTTAAAGTGTATTTAGCAATCAGATTGGCAGCCAATGGGAAGGGTGAGAAAAGAGAAACAAATGGAGGTAACTGTTGTCACTGAGAGCAGTGATTTTAATCTGGGCTCTTAGGAGGCTCTAAAATTTATTGGGATGCCACGCAAGTTCAAGACTGTATTGTTTGTCTCCTAGTTAACCTTCCAGTACTGCTTTTAGGCCCTGAATGACTAACTCGCTTTGCTGCCAACACTGTTTTATCTACATGCGCACAGCATTGAATCAACAGATCAAATACTTACCTAAAACAATTCAAAACACTATACAGCAGCATTACTTTGTTTTTCCTAGAGTTGTTAAATAATGAAATGAAATGCCTGCTTTGTTTAGACTCTAATTTCATAAGGCTACTTAAAAGCAAATCAGCAGTTTATTATTTTCTGAGGTTACTGTGAAGTTCCAGTTTGTAACTCTAATACGTTGACTGGTTTTGTGACATGAGCATAAAAGATCAGGGAAAGCAAAGAACACTATAACTGAAGAACTGATATCTTTTCTCTTAGAAGCCTCTTTTTCCCCTCTGCCAAATAGCCCTCATCTTTTTGTTTTGTAATAGTTTCTTTGCGATGTAATCCACAGACCATACAATTCACCCGATAAAGCATACAAATCAGTGGTTTTTAGAATATTCACAGAATTTTGCGACCATTACCACAATCAGTTGAAGAACATTCTCATCCCCTCAAAAAGAAAGCCTGGATCTTTCAGCTGTCACCCCTCAATCCACCCATTATACCCTCCCTGGCCCCAAGCAACCACCAATCTACTTTCTGTCTTTTTAATTTGCCTTTTCTAGGCATGTCATATGAATGGGCTCATACAATATGTGGTCCTCTGTGTCTGTCCTGGGACTCTTGAGAGCTAATGCCAAGATGATGAGCTTTCAGGGCCTTGGGATCCCACATCTCAGTTCAAGCTTATTAACCCTCAGTCACTGATTCAGCACATTGTGGGCGTGTTCTTTGTGTCTGATTCTGTGCAGGTGCTAGGGATTCTGTAGTAAGCCAAGAGTCATGTTCCTGGCCTCCTGGGCTTATAAAGTCGGGGGAAGGCCAGGTATGATGGGTCAAGCTTGTAATCCCAGCACTATGGGAGGCCCAGGGCAGGCAGACTGCTTGAGTCTAGGAGTTTGAGACCAACCTGGGCCACATAGTGAGACCTCTTTTCTTTTCTTTTTTTTTTTTTGAGTTGGAGTCTCACTCTGTCGCCCAGACCACTCCCGGCCACTGCAGCCTCGACCTGCTGGGCTCTGGCAATCCTTCCGCCTCAGCCTTCCAAGTAGCTAGAACTACAGGCGCACACTACCATGCCCGGATCATTTTTTTGATTTATTGTAGAGATGAGGTCTCACCTGCCCAGGCGGGTCTCGAACCCATGGGCTCAAGCAATCCACTCACCTCAGCCTCCCAAAGGCGCGGGATTACAGGCTAAGCCACCAAGCCCAGCTGAGACCTCTTTTCTACAAAAAATTAAAAATGATTTTAAAAAGCAGTAAAGAGAGATATTAAGCAAATAACCAGACACATCATTAACCATTATGATAAATGCTATTTCAGAAAAAGGCAGGATGCTGTGAGAGGATAAGAGGGGTTATCATTTAGCTTGGGGATGGTAGTTTGTGATGTCTTCCAAAGAAAACCTTCTGCAACGTGGACTTTTGCCTGCATGCTGGGGGATGGGTGGATGTGAGAGGGAAGGGTAAGCTGAGGTGCTCAGTAGGGGAGGAGAGGGGTTAGTGAGGGGGATGCTGGCATGGGAGAGGACCAGAACCAAATCCTGCAGGACCCAGGGAGGGAGTGCTAGTGGAAGGTTTTACGTGGAGGAGTCAGGCAGTCAGGTCTGGGCACACAAGACTGTTTCTCTGCCTCCTTGATTTTAGAACATGTGACCCAATGCAACCATGGGTATCAATTCTAGGTCAAAGCATAAAAGAAAATGAGGAGGGTCTTCATGGGCTCTTCACCTCACCATGGGAACTGAGAAGACCTCTCTAGCTGGGGGTGGAGGATGAATGGGAGCAGAGCAGAAGCAGGGAACCAACTAGAAGGCAGCAGGTCACGATGGCTTAGCCTGGAGTGGTGCTAGTAAACAGTAAAAATTGGGTGGATTTAAGAACTATTTGGAGTATGAGAGTATTCTGGAGTACTGGAAGGGTTGGGGTACAGGCGAAGCAAGAGGATGGGATTGATCTTTGATGGGATGGACCGAGGCTTCCTATGTAATATCAGGAGGGAAGAGGACTGTGGGAATGGATGGAGATAGGTCTTGAAGTTCCTATCACATGGTCTCCGTCTTCTAAAAAAAAAGTCTGAGATAGGGTCATCAGCAGCCGTGGGGAGTGAGGGAAGAAGACAGGACTGAGGAGATGAGAGAGGTATGAAGTAGAGGTGAGAAAGCGGACTGACTTGAAAAACTGTAGCGGCGACATTGCTGGGTGTGTCGAGAGCCCGTGTGAGGTTAATGGACACATGGGACAACTGAGTTACTCAGCTGCGTGCCTCCCTCCAGCAGGGCTCAGCTGCCCAGGAGCAGATGTGGAGAAGAGGGTTCTTCCAGGTTTAGTGGACAATGACAGGAGAGTTGAGGGGTTTCCAGGCAAGTAATCATAATGGTGGCTGGTGGAATCTAACCTGGAGAAACAGGGAAGTGAAGACAGGAAGGACTGCAAGATGGACAAAAGGGTGGGGGTCAGTGGAGAGTTGGACAAGGCTGAAGAACCGCACAGGTAGCCCTCAGAAAGTCCAGTTGGAGAACAGGAGGCTGAGGTCAGGGATGGCGTGTTTGGATCCTGGTTTTGGATGTGAGGAGGAAGCAGGAGTGTTAAGAGTGTCCTTCCTGTCTCCCCAGGACAGCGTCCCTTGTCCATCAGTGCTGTGCCCAGGAGTTATTCAAAGGGAGGCAGTGACTCTACTGGGATGCAAGTTAGTATTTCCCCCCTAAACAGACACCTTCTAATTACCTGCTAAGTAACTGACATTTTAACACCTCCACATTGGCTCTTAACTATAAAATCTGAATCATTAAAATGATTTTCCCTGAATTGGACCCCACATCTTTACAATAATTTAAAAAAAAAAAATTTTCAGTGTTGCACATTTTGTAAATCTTCAAATGGGCATGAAGTGTTTTATATTTTTCAAAATTCTCCCAACTGATGTGGGAGTTGATATGAAGACTCCAATATCAATAACAATTTCTTTCTTTTAAAAAAAATTTTTTTCAATTTGGAGTCTCACTCCAGCCTAGGCTGGAGTGTGGTGGCATGATCATGGCTCACCACAGGCTCGACCTACTGGACTCAGGCAGGAGCCACCACACCTGGCTAATTTTTTTATTTTTATTTTTATTTTTTGTAGAGACGAGCTCTTGCTATGTTGCCCAGGCTGATCTCAACTCCTGGCCTCCCATTTTGGCCTCCCAAAGTGTTGGGATTATAGACATGAGCCACCACATCTAGCTGTCAGTAGTTAATTTCTAAGTGAACCTATCTTAGTTAAGACTCTGCATGCAGTGAAGGTACCAATTTGATCTGGTTTAAGCCTTAAGTGGGGTGGGGAGATACTGTAGCATTAGAAGGACCAGCTTCAGAAGCCAAGATAGAAAAGCAAGTTCTCACGGTGGGCTGAAGTCCAAAACTACAAGCCCACGGGGACCATCTCTCCCATCTCTCTGCTTCTCACTTCCGTGTTCATTCCATCTCCTCCCCCACCCCTGTCCCCATTACAGAAGCCTTCCTCCAGTCTGGGCTAGACAGAATATGGCCACCTCCACAACCTGGAGTAGTATTTAATGTTACAGTTCTACCAGTGAAGACTTACAATCTTGCATTCTTAAATATTTAACAGAAGGATAGTTCACTGACCAGGCTGGGGTCAGGGAGACGCCCCTTTGATCAGTCCCAGCCAGAGACCATGTGATGTGATGATAAACATGGCTGCCAGAGAGGGGCCCACTCAATCCCTTATGTTCTTAAATAAGATCAGAGAAGATCCACCCCTAGGCATCTGTTCAAGTGTCGTGTTTCTAACTTCTGCATGCAACCAGGCTTGGCTGTTCTACCCAGTACTCTTGCTCTGCCGCCCTAAGGGATATCCCATCCCATGGCAAGGGGGTTCTGTCAGGAACAAGCGAAGGCCCTGCCGTGGTGACCCTCATCTCTACAGAAACACATGCTGCCCATCTCCAGAATGAGCCAGGCTGGGCTGGGCTGACCAGCAGGAGTATTATCCATGGCTTTCCCTGGTTACACAGCCAACTGGAATATTCTAGAGAAGAAGGAGCATCTAGAAGGATGTTGGCCTTCATTGGGCTGTGGACCACTACTCTGTGGCCATCTGTATTTAGGCCATTAAGGGGCAGGGGCACAACTGCCTTCTTGCCTTAATTCATGCCATATGTACTCATTGAGTACCAGTCACAAGCCCAGCACCGAAGTGGAGGTGAGGGAAATTGTGGTGAGTAACATGGCCCCTGCTCTTAGGAGTTATAGGGCAGAATGTGGTGCATCCATGCTGTGGGGCAGGAAAGGGGGTTTGGGGGACTCAGGGG